CCGTTCTGACAGTTTGGATAACAATGTTTCGCTAACGTTTTGAAAGTCGTTCCTTACTCGTGTTTCTAATTCCAATATATCATTTTCTATTTCTTTATATTTTTTCTCTTTTACTTTTTTCAAGTGTGTAGCTTTCATCAAAATGTCTCTAAGAATAGAGAATCAGTAATTGTAAGATCTAAAGTTTCTTCAGGGATATTTTTAATTTCTTCATTATCATATTTAGGATCAGCGTATTCACGTTTAGTTTCGTTTAAAATATTTATTACCATTGCTGCATATTCATCTTTTCGTAGTTATGATGTATTGAGCTTCCAATATCCACCAAGTAAATGTATTGTTGATTGGTTGTAGTTCTCTCCATGCATCTATTACATGTAGGTTTAATAATTCAATCATTTTATCTAAGACTTATTTTCTTGCATTAGGATTGTTGATATTTTCATAGTTTTGTAAGTCTATTGAAGGATCAAGGACAAAGTTCCAATCTCCACATATTACTAAAGAGTCATTATCCATATCATCAATTTTTTTGCAAATGATGTTTTAGTAAAATGATGGGTGATCGGAGTTTGGGCCATACACTGTGGTGAGCGTAAACTTTATACCATCTACCGCAATGTCTAAAATAAAATAATTACCATTATAGTCAACACAAGTCTTGTGTATTTTATATTCAAAATTGTTGTTGAAAAGGATTGCTACACCTCGTGCATTTGACTTGTACGGTGCAATAACACCATCAGGTTCCCATTCATTTTTCATAAGATTTTCATTATCTTTGGAAATTTGAACATCTTGCAAACAAATGAAAGAGGATTTCTTTTTTCAATATAAATTCATGACTTCTTTTCTTTTGGTCTTTGTGGCTAGGCCTCTACAATTAGCTGAGGCTATATGTATTTTCTCATTTACTCCCATGTATTATTAATCCCTCTTTCTCTTGAAATATAGGCATGTACCAACTCGAATGAGTTTTTGTTTTGAATAAAGAAATATCCCTTGTTGCCATGAGCTCTGACTTTTGAGATGGAGAAGGAAGCTACCTTCCCATTGATTAGCAGGGTAGTCATAATAAATACATTTATCCATATACACCTACATTGGCATACCTACATGGCCATACACGCCCATGTACATATACCCGTAAATAAACACACATATACATAACACATGCGTAAACATGGCTGCAAGCACATATATCACATGCATATAGTACTCAATATGAAGAGGCGGGTTAAATCAAGCCGGCAATAGTTAAATTGTTTCACGATGCTACTTACATATTGTGCCGGTGAATAAGTAATTCCAAAAGTCCTCACGAATATACACTGACAGTCACCACAAAATAAAGTGTTGTCCTTGCCACAAAACTGCGAGAATCAATCTGGGCAACACGTGTTTGTACTCGTTGACACTACTGCTCTCGCATTGCGCGTGCATGTTATAAATAGCCAGGAGGTCGACGAGTACAACTCAACACATTGAGTGTCCAACATTTTGCCTGTGTAGAAACCTATCTTTCGAACCCAACTGGACATTTAACAATCTTTCAAAATGTTGACTCTGGAAAATAAATTACTCCCCCAAAATGTTACAAATTCTACAGTTTTTATATGCCGTGAAAAAAGACCAACCATTCATTTACTTATTTACTGTATGTGGGCAAATATTATCAGCAGTGAGTTATATGTAAACAGAGAGAGTCATAACGTGTTCGCATCCTGTTATTGTTACACTACCTACTGGTCAACCTTGCGCCAGGAAGATCCTGGTTCCTTGGTATCTTTGGTCTCCAGGATGACTTCGGCTGATACAACTCTTATCCTTGTCCATATCTTGTTATCCGCGTCATGAATTGATGCCGCTTCCCTACTCAGAATCGCTCGTCTCTTCTTTGAAATGTCTGGCAAGTCAGTTTGGATACTTATCCCGGTTTCTCGTAGTAGTTTCCTGGCTCCATAGACAGCTTCCCGATCAGGCAATAATGCTACGGGGGATGTAGGGCGGTGTTTCTTCTGATACTCCGATACAGAGGGTCGATGTACCACTTCTAAGTATATGTCATCTACTCGGGCTTGTGAGAATTTTAGTTCATCGACGAGGAATACCTGAACAACCCCTTCTGTATTTACTTCCGGGGATTCCGGAATTCCATAGATGAGCAAGTTTGGTTTTCTGTCATGGACTCCTTAAGGGTAACCTGTTTCTCTAACTGAAAACGACGGCTTCTTTCGGCTGATAGCTCCCCACGTAGTGTCCTGATTTCGCTATCGTGATTCGCAACGTCATGTTTAATTCCTCTCACATTTTCTTTCATGTCAGAAACATCCAGTTTTAAAGAGTCAATAGATTCCTGAATTTCATCTTTTGTATTTCGAATTAGCTCAGGAAAGTCTTTTCTCAGAAGCTTTAACAATCTCCTCAACTTTAGTCATGTAAGCCATATTACTGCGATTAAGGCGCTGAGTGTCCGACATGTAAATCATTTCACAGACATGTCAAAAGTCGTAAGGTTGGCAAAACCACAGAAATAGATATGAAAGTTAAGGGTTTACCCCACTTTCTTTGGTTCCTGGTGTTTGTAGGTGGTGTTAAGGCCTCCAATGAGGATTGTTACGATTTATCCATGGGTCAGTGTGAGCCAGCGGGAAACACGTTAGCGGCCGAACGTACGCAACCGGAGGTTGGAGAAGTTGATTCATGTAGCAATTTGCTGTCAAATTTTCCTGAACCACAACCAAGTCAGGTCCCGTGGTGTAGGATATGGCCCCCCGCACAATGACACTTCTGAAGGAAATACACCTTGTCGGCCCTCCATCTTTGGAATGTATCTCAGTAATTTCCAGTGGATATACATACTTTTGTTAGTCAATTGTGTATGATTTGTTATGTCACCATTACTACTGGGACGGTCTTATAATCGACGTATATATGCTGTAGATCTCGATTCCTAAGAATACCACGATGTGGGTTGGGGGCACATTCTTATCATAGTTTATCATAAACCCAAGACTTTCAATGAATTCTTTTAGGCACTGTGCAGCTATTTCACACTCACATTTAGTTGCAGCTGTGATCAGAGCAAAGCCCCCTACGATTCAGCAAACGGGTAATACTAGAGCTGAGTCTTTGAAATATTTCTGGGCTTTTAGCTGCTCCGAAAGGTAGCCTAGTATCTACCATATACGTTATGCCCCTCCAACTTTAACATTAAGCCGTGAGCATCATAACAGTCTGGATGGAGGGGCACACTGTTGTAGGCATTTTTAAGGTCATTCTTTGCCATATATCCGTTTCTAGGGAGCAGGTCTACAGCTTTGTCTATACTATCATAAGTCACATGATTGGTACTCACTTAGGCATTGACACTTTCTCCAGCAGGTCTGCTGCAGTCGTGGATCAAACGTATATCGTTAGGGCCAGACTTGGGCACAGCTCCCAGGCTACTGACAATCGTAGGTTTCTCGTCCTTGATAAGATAACTTCAAGCCTCAATTTCGCTGACAAATCTTTTGTGCTACCTTAGAAGCATTGTCAACACATACCGCCGATTGGGAATTTTGGCAATCACAGTATTTGTACGTATGGACATCATGACAATTGGACATATGATATTTGACCCTTTGTAACAACCACTCACGAGTGTATGTATACGTTCAAATATGTCTCTTTCTGTCCTACAAAACAGTGATAGTCTTCTCGCTGACGATACACTGATAGTATGTCCGCGTGCATCCACCAAGTCATGACGTCAGTGGACCCAAACTACAACGATCATACAATCAGGTCGTGAGATTCGCTTCTTATCCGACAAGGGGATTTCTGTTGACACTTGAAACTGAAAATGTTAAAAGAGTCCATCACATGACAGGCGACACTGCCAGTGACATCTCTCCAAAGGTAGTGCCTACAGCCGCCGACACTGCCAGTGACATCTCTCCAATGGTAGCACCTACAGCGGGCGACACTGCCAGTGACATCTCTCCAATGGTAGCGCCTACAGCGGGCGACACTGCCAGTGACATCTCTCCAATGGGAGCGCCTACAGCCGCCGACACTGCCAGTGACATCTCTCCAATGGTAGCGCCTACAGCCGCCGACACTGCCACTGACATCTCTCCAATGGTAGCGCCTACAGCGGGCGACACTACCAGTGACATCTCTCCAGTGGTAGCGCCTACAGCCGCCGACACTGCCACTGACATCTCTCCAATGGTAGCGCCTACAGCGGGCGACACTACCAGTGACATCTTTCCAATGGTAGCGCCTACAGCGGGCGACACTACCAGTGACATCTCTCCAATGGTAGCGCCTACAGCCGCCGACACTGCCACTGACATCTCTCCAATGGTAGCACCTACAGCGGGCGACACTGCCAGTGACATCTCTCCAATGGTAGCACCTACAGCCGCCGACACTGCCAGTGACATCTCTCCAATGGTAGCGCCTACAGCCGCCGACACTGCCAGTGACATCTCTCCAATTGTAGCGCCTTCAGCCGGCGACACTGCCAATGACATCTATCTAACGTTAGCGCCTACAGCCGCCGACACTACCAGTGACATCTCTCCAATGGGAGCGCCTACAGCCGCCGACACTGCCACTAACATCTCTCCAATGGTAGCGCCTACAGCCGCCGACACTGCCAGTGACATCTCTCTCTCACACACACACACACACACACACACACACACACACACGCACGCACGCACGCACGCACGCACGCACGCGCACGCACGCACGCACGCACGCACACACACACACACACACACGCACGCACACACACACACACACACACACACACACACACACACATATTTTATTCACACAATGGAGAGTTGGAGACAACAGCGTTTGAGTGTAGTTGATTCAGTTTCGTTATTCACAGATAGAACATCACAATGACTAAACCCATTAGGTTTACAGAGAATTTGTCAAATCATAAACACACTCCTCCGTTTCTAAAATGCTGTACTCGGACAATCTGTTCAGGGTGATTACAAATAATTCAAACATTCGATGGTTGTTAAATAACCAGTTGGCATTCCGAGTGTATTTGATGTCAGAGTTTTTACTTCCTGCTTCCCACTAGGGTCTCGGGCTGAAGTGGGGGTCTCGGGCTGAAGTGGGGGCCTCGGGCTGAAGTGGGGGTCTCGGGCTGAAGTGGGGGTCTCGGGCTGAAGTGGGGGTCTCGGGCTGAAGTGGGGGTCTCGGGCTGAAGTGGGGGTCTCGGGCTGAAGTGGGGGTCTCGGGCTGAAGTGGGGGCCTCGGGCTGAAGTGGGGGTCTCGGGCTGAAGTGGGGGCCTCGGGCTGAAGTGGGGGCCTCGGGCTGAAGTGGGGGCCTCGGGCTGAAGTGGGGGTCTCGGGCTGAAGTGGGGGTCTCGGGCTGAAGTGGGGGTCTCGGGCTGAAGTGGGGGTCTCGGGCTGAAGTGGGGGCCTCGGGCTGAAGTGGGGGTCTCGGGCTGAAGTGGGGGCCTCGGGCTGAAGTGGGGGCCTCGGGCTGAAGTGGGGGCCTCGGGCTGAAGTGGGGGTCTCGGGCTGAAGTGGGGGCCTCGGGCTGAAGTGGGGGTCTCGGGCTGAAGTGGGGGTCTCGGGCTGAAGTGGGGGCCTCGGGCTGAAGTGGGGGTCTCGGGCTGAAGTGGGGGTCTCGGGCTGAAGTGGGGGCCTCGGGCTGAAGTGGGGGCCTCGGGCTGAAGTGGGGGTCTCGGGCTGAAGTGGGGGTCTCGGGCTGAAGTGGGGGCCTCGGGCTGAAGTGGGGGCCTCGGGCTGAAGTGGGGGCCTCGGGCTGAAGTGGGGGTCTCGGGCTGAAGTGGGGGTCTCGGGCTGAAGTGGGGGCCTCGGGCTGAAGTGGGGGTCTCGGGCTGAAGTGGGGGCCTCGGGCTGAAGTGGGGGTCTCGGGCTGAAGTGGGGGTCTCGGGCTGAAGTGGGGGCCTCGGGCTGAAGTGGGGGTCTCGGGCTGAAGTGGGGGTCTCGGGCTGAAGTGGGGGCCTCGGGCTGAAGTGGGGGTCTCGGGCTGAAGTGGGGGCCTCGGGCTGAAGTGGGGGCCTCGGGCTGAAGTGGGGGCCTCGGGCTGAAGTGGGGGCCTCGGGCTGAAGTGGGGGCCTCGGGCTGAAGTGGGGGCCTCGGGCTGAAGTGGGGGTCTCGGGCTGAAGTGGGGGCCTCGGGCTGAAGTGGGGGCCTCGGGCTGAAGTGGGGGCCTCGGGCTGAAGTGGGGGCCTCGGGCTGAAGTGGGGGCCTCGGGCTGAAGTGGGGGTCTCGGGCTGAAGTGGGGGCCTCGGGCTGAAGTGGGGGCCTCGGGCTGAAGTGGGGGTCTCGGGCTGAAGTGGGGGTCTCGGGCTGAAGTGGGGGTCTCGGGCTGAAGTGGGGGCCTCGGGCTGAAGTGGGGGTCTCGGGCTGAAGTGGGGGCCTCGGGCTGAAGTGGGGGCCTCGGGCTGAAGTGGGGGCCTCGGGCTGAAGTGGGGGCCTCGGGCTGAAGTGGGGGCCTCGGGCTGAAGTGGGGGCCTCGGGCTGAAGTGGGGGCCTCGGGCTGAAGTGGGGGTCTCGGGCTGAAGTGGGGGCCTCGGGCTGAAGTGGGGGCCTCGGGCTGAAGTGGGGGCCTCGGGCTGAAGTGGGGGCCTCGGGCTGAAGTGGGGGCCTCGGGCTGAAGTGGGGGTCTCGGGCTGAAGTGGGGGCCTCGGGCTGAAGTGGGGGTCTCGGGCTGAAGTGGGGGCCTCGGGCTGAAGTGGGGGTCTCGGGCTGAAGTGGGGGTCTCGGGCTGAAGTGGGGGTCTCGGGCTGAAGTGGGGGCCTCGGGCTGAAGTGGGGGTCTCGGGCTGAAGTGGGGGTCTCGGGCTGAAGTGGGGGCCTCGGGCTGAAGTGGGGGCCTCGGGCTGAAGTGGGGGCCTCGGGCTGAAGTGGGGGTCTCGGGCTGAAGTGGGGGTCTCGGGCTGAAGTGGGGGTCTCGGGCTGAAGTGGGGGTCTCGGGCTGAAGTGGGGGTCTCGGGCTGAAGTGGGGGCCTCGGGCTGAAGTGGGGGTCTCGGGCTGAAGTGGGGGCCTCGGGCTGAAGTGGGGGCCTCGGGCTGAAGTGGGGGTCTCGGGCTGAGATAGGCTTCTTGAGTTGGTGTGGTTGTATTGGGTTTATATGGCATTCTCGGGTTGATATGGGGGTCTCGGGCTGAGATAGGCTTCTTGAGTTGGTGTGGTTGTATTGGGTTTATATGGCATTCTCGGGTTGATATTGGGGTCTTGGGTTGATGTGGTTGTATTGGGTTAATATGGCATTCTCGGGTTGATATGGGGGTCTCGGGCTGAGATAGGCTTCTTGAGTTGGTGTGGTTGTATTGGGTTTATATGGCATTCTCGGGTTGATATTGGGGTCTTGGGTTGATGTGGTTGTATTGGGTTAATATGGCATTCTCGGGTTGATATGGGGGTCTCGGGCTGAGATAGGCTTCTTGAGTTGGTGTGGTTGTATTGGGTTTATATGGCATTCTCGGGTTGATATTGGGGTCTTGGGTTGATGTGGTTGTATTGGGTTAATATGGCATTCTCGGGTTGATATGGGGGTCTCGGGCTGAGATAGGCTTCTTGAGTTGGTGTGGTTGTATTGGGTTTATATGGCATTCTCGGGTTGATATTGGGGTCTTGGGTTGATGTGGTTGTATTGGGTTAATATGGCATTCTCGGGTTGATATGGGGGTCTCGGGCTGGTATAGGCTTCTTGTGTTGATGTGGTTGTATTGGGTTTATATGGCATTCTCGGGTTGATATTGGGGTCTTGGGTTGATGTGGTTGTATTGGGTTAATATGGCATTCTCGGGTTGATATGGGGGTCTCGGGCTGAGATAGGCTTCTTGAGTTGATGTGGTTGTATTGGGTTTATATGGCATTCTCGGGTTGATATTGGGGTCTTGGGTTGATGTGGTTGTATTGGGTTAATATGGCATTCTCGGGTTGATATGGGGGTCTCGGGCTGGTATAGGCTTCTTGAGTTGGTGTGGTTGTATTGGGTATATATGGCATTCTCGGGCTGATATGGGGGTCTTGGGTTCATGTGGTTGTATTGGTTTTATATGGCATTCTCGGGCTGATATGGGGGGTCTCTGGCTGAAATGGGGATCTCAGGCTGATATCGGGTCTCGGGTTGATATGGGGGTCTCAGGTTGATATTGGGTCTCTGGCTGATATGGGGGTGTCAGGTTGATATGGGGGTCTCAGGTTGATATGGAGGTCTCAGGCTGATATGTGGGTCTCTGGTTGATATGGGGGTCTAAGGTTGATATGGAGGTCTCCGGCTGATCAGGGGTCTCAGGTTGATATGGGGGTCTAAGGTTGATATGGAGGTCCCCGGCTGATCTGGGGCTCTCAGGTTGATATTGTGGTCTCGGGCTGTTCTGGGGGTCTCAGGTTGATATGGGAGTCTCATGATGATTTTGAGGTCTTAGGGTGATATGGAGGTATCGGGTTGATATGGTTGTATATTGGGTTTATAGGGGATTCTCTGGGTGATATGGGGGGTCTTTGGCTGAAATGGGGATCTCAGGCTGATATCGGGTCTCGGGTTGATATGGGGGTCTCAGGTTGATATTTGGTCTCAGGTTGATATAGGGGTCTCAGGTTGTTATGGGAGTCACAGGTTGATATGGGGGTCTCAGGTTGATATGGGGGTCTCAGGTTGATATAGGGGTCTCAGGTTGTTATGGGGGTCTCAGGTTGATATGGGGGTCTCAGGTTGATATGGGGAGTCTCAGGTTGATATGGGGGCCTCATGTTGATATGAAGGTCTCGGGCTGAAATGGGCATATCATGCTGATATGGGAGTCTCAGGTTGATATGGGATTCTCAGGTTGATTTTGGGGTCTTAGGGTGATATGGAGGTATCGGGCTGATGTGGTTGTATATTTGGTTTATAGGGGATTCTCGGGTTGATATGGGGGTATCGGGCTGATATGTGGGTCTCGGGCTTATATGTTTGTATTAAGCTGATATGGGGGTGTCAGGCTGATATGGGGTCTCGGGTTGATATGGGGGTCTCAGGCTGATATGGGGGTGTCGGGTTGATATGGAGGTCTCAGGTTGATGTGGAGGTCTCGGGCTGATATGGGGGTCTCTGGCTGATATGGGGGTCTAAGGTTGATATGGAGATCCCCAGCTGATCTGGGGCTCTCAGGTTGATATTGTGGTCTCGGGCTGTTCTGGGGGTCTCAGGTTGATATGGGAGTCTCATGATGATTTTGAGGTCTTAGGGTGATATGGAGGTATCGGGTTGATATGGTTGTATATTGGGTTTATAGGGGATTCTCTGGGTGATATGGGGGGTCTTTGGCTGAAATGGGGATCTCAGGCTGATATCGGGTCTCGGGTTGATATGGGGGTCCCAGGTTGATATTTGGTCTCAGGTTGATATAGGGGTCTCAGGTTGTTATGGGAGTCTCAGGTTGATATGGGGGTCTCAGGTTGATATGGGGGTCTCAGGTTGATATAGGGGTCTCAGGTTGTTATGGGGGTCTCAGGTTGATATGGGGGTCTCAGGTTGATATAGGGGGTCTCAGGTTGATATGGGGGCCTGAGGTTGATATGAAGGTCTCGGGCTGAAATGGGCATATCATGCTGATATGGGAGTCTCAGGTTGATATGGGAGTCTCAGGTTGATTTTGGGGTCTTAGGGTAATATGGAGGTATCGGGCTGATGTGGTTGTATATTTGGTTTATAGGGGATTCTCGGGTTGATATGGGGTTATCGGGCTGATATGTCGGTCTCGGGCTTATATGTTTGTATTAAGCTGATATGGGGGTCTCAGGCTGATATGGGGGTCTTAGGCTGATATGGGGGTGTCAGGTTGATATGGAGGTCTCAGGTTGATGTGGAGGTCTCGGGCTGATATGAGGGTCTCTGGCTGATGTAGGGGTGTCAGGTTGATATGGGAGTCTCTGGTTGATATGGGGGTCTCAGGCCGATATGTGGGTCTCTAGCTGATATGGGGGTCTAAGGTTGATATGGGGGTCTCCGGCTGATCAGGGGTCTCAGGTTGATATGGGGGTCTAAGGTTGATATGGAGGTCCCCGGCTGATCTGGGGCTCTCAGGTTGATATTGTGGTCTCGGGCTGTTCTGGGGGTCTCAGGTTGATATGGGAGTCTCATGATGATTTTGAGGTCTTAGGGTGATATGGAGGTATCGGGTTGATATGGTTGTATATTGGGTTTATAGGGGATTCTCTGGGTGATATGGGGGGTCTTTGGCTGAAATGGGGATCTCAGGCTGATATCGGGTCTCGGGTTGATATGGGGGTCTCAGGTTGATATTTGGTCTCAGGTTGATATAGGGGTCTCAGGTTGTTATGGGAGTCACAGGTTGATATGGGGGCCTCAGGTTGATATGGGGGTCTCAGGTTGATATAGGGGTCTCAGGTTGTTATGGGGGTCTCAGGTTGATATGGGGGTCTCAGGTTGATATGGGGGGTCTCAGGTTGATATGGGGGCCTCAGGTTGATATAGGGGGTCTCAGGTTGATATGGGGGCCTGAGGTTGATATGAAGGTCTCGGGCTGAAATGGGCATATCATGCTGATATGGGAGTCTCAGGTTGATATGGGAGTCTCAGGTTGATTTTGGGGTCTTAGGGTAATATGGAGGTATCGGGCTGATGTGGTTGTATATTTGGTTTATAGGGGATTCTCGGGTTGATATGGGGGTATCGGGCTGATATGTGGGTCTCGGGCTTATATGTTTGTATTAAGCTGATATGGGGGTCTCAGGCTGATATGGGGGTCTTAGGCTGATATGGGGGTGTCAGGTTGATATGGAGGTCTCAGGTTGATGTGGAGGTCTCGGGCTGATATGGGGGTCTCTGGCTGATATAGGGGTGTCAGGTTGATATGGGAGTCTCTGGTTGATATGGGGGTCTCTGGCTGATATGGGGGTCTCTAGCTGATATGGAGGTCTCAGATTGATATGGGGGTCTCCTCTACACCTGCCCCCACATGCACACACATACATATAAATACACACATACACACAACACAAATGCACATACACATTTTTACGGAAAGGGCCGAGTGGTGACGAATGTATATTGAGCGTCATACCCGGAAGCTGTTTAGAGTTCATCTATGGTACACCCAGGATACCACACCCACAGCGACATCCTTTACACCCAGGATACCACACCCACAGCGACACCCTTTACACCCAGGATACCACACCAACAGCGACATCCTTTACACCCAGGATACCACACCAACAGCGACATCCTTTACACCCAGGATACCACACCCACAGCGACACCCTTTACACCCAGGATACCACACCCATTGCGACATCCTTTACACCCAGGATACCACACCCACTGCGACATCCTTTACACCCAGGATACCACACCCACAGTGACACCCTTTACACCCAGGATACCACACCCACTGCGACATCCTTTACACCCAGGATTCCACAACATCTGCGACATCCTTTACACCCAGGATACGTCACCCATTGCGACATCCTTTACATCAAGGATACGTCACCCATTGCGACATCCTTTACATCCAGGATACTACACCCACTGCGACATCCTTTACACCCAGGATACCACACCCACTGCGACATCCTTTACACCCAGGATACCACACCCACTGCGACATCCTTTACATCCAGGATACCACACCCACAGCGACACCCTTTACACCCAGGATACCACACCCATTGCGACATCCTTTACACCCAGGATACCACACCCACTGCGACATCCTTTACACCCAGGATACCACACCCACAGTGACACCCTTTACACCCAGGATACCACACCCACTGCGACATCCTTTACACCCAGGATTCCACAACATCTGCGACATCCTTTACACCCAGGATACGTCACCCATTGCGACATCCTTTACATCAAGGATACGTCACCCATTGCGACATCCTTTACATCCAGGATACTACACCCACTGCGACATCCTTTACACCCAGGATACCACACCCACTGCGACATCCTTTACACCCGGGATACCACACCCACTGCGACATCCTTTACACCCAGGATACCACACCCACAGTGGCACCCTTTACACCCAGGATACCACACCCACTGCGACATCCTTTACACCCAGGATACCACACCCACAGTGACTCCCTTTACACCCAGGATACCACACCC